GCTGCTAAATGAAGGCGCTGCAATGCCCCAGCAGAATATGATTAAATGAATAAACAAAATGCAAGGCAGCCAACAAGAGCAGTGCTTTAATCAGGTCAGATGAAAAATTAAGTTTAAAAAAAATTTTCCAGATTCAAATCTTTTTTTCCCTATTAACAGCTCATGAGTGGCTCAGCTCTGGAGAATGAGCAAGAAGAGAGGACAAGGGCTCTTGCAAAGCGTGAAGAGACCCGTCTGAGTCCTGCTCCCCTCTGCTCAGCACAGGACCAACTCCTGGTGCACGTCCTGAGGGATGTTCAGTTCTGAGCTTTGCCTGAGCAAGGCCACCTGCAACCATCACAGCTGATCCTCTCGCAGGGACCACGAGCATCCCACAGCCAAGATTTAAACCCAGATCTCACAGAAATGGCCCCAGGCATCGCCCCAGGCTCCCCATGGGCACTGGACTGTGCTGATCCAAGCGCTCTCCTCCCTGCTCATCTATCCACCCCTGGGCATCTAAGCACAGGAGCCATCACAATTGCTCCTGTCACTTTCCCCACCTCCAGCCCCCGCAGCTCGTAGCATCCCTGGACAATCCACAAGATTCAGTCACGATCATCATTAACTCATGGTCGCTACTAGAAAACAGGGACAACTGCAGCAAGCCAAGCCAGTGGGTGGCATGGATCCATCAGCTGATGGCCTGGAGCACAGTGCCAGCCAGACCTGCTTTTTCTTTGGATACACAGCCCAGGGCTGCCTTTTCTTTCTTCTCCAGGCACCCAACCAATTAACTAAATAAACAAGGAAGCAGCAATTAACCTGGCATTGGCCTCTTCAGCACCCCGCTAGCAATCCTCCCTCGAAGGAAAGCTAACAGATTTCCCTGCTACTCCAGACAGCTTGAGGGCACAAAATTTTTCATGCTCTGACCCTGCTCCAGTCTGTCTGTGGTTCCCAGCCCCTCCAGCCTGCTGCCCTCACCAAAATGTGCCTTTTAAGTGAAATCAGATCCAAAGAGCTTTTCTGGGCCAGTGCCTCTCAGATGCTTGGCAGGAAGATTTGCAAATGCACGTGCCTACAGGTGCATCTCGAGAGCTGGCCAAGCCCCTGCATGCAGTTGCCCACCGTGGCTCCCATGGCATGTGGCCCAGGCGGGGCTGCACATGCAGCACTCGGAACCCCCAGCTCTAGGAGTTGGGGTTAGCGTGCTGGGCAGGGGGTGCAGAGGCAAGGGGCTAGTGCCAGCTTGGGAGCACAAAAATGTATGTGAAACCCAGCGCCAACAGAGCCTGGCAAGCTGGGCAGTGATAGCTGTTTTCCTATCCAACCCTGGGCAGGTTTTGGGGCTTGCTGCGTTCTGATGAGACCTTTTGCTCACCCTGGGCTGGAGTTTCAGAGCATTTATTCTCAGATCAAGAGAGAGCTGCTGTTTCCTTCCTTCGCTACAACCATTTGTTGAACTAGACCCAAGTTCCCAGGCAGGCAAGAGCAAGGGCATCCCCAGGCCGCCTTGTTCAGTGTCTCATCCCTGCATCAAACATTTCATGAGTCTCAAGTCACCACGGGGCAGCCCAGCCCTACAGCACCCCAGCTCAGGGCAACCCTCCAGCTCTGCCTTATTTGCCTGCCCCCACCCTAAGAACACCCCCCACCTCTCCCCATGCTGCTGGGGGCTGGCAGTGTGCCTGAGCACCTCTGGGGCAGAGCCAGGTCCCCCCTTCAGCCAGATCTGTTGGCATTTCAGCAGTCTCGGTCCCTGATGCTACTGATGAACAAAGTTATCTGGATGTCTGCCCCATCCCTGTGCCTCTCCAGCTCGCCCATCACTCGTGGCATCAAGGCAGCCCTTCACTGGCACAGACACGTGCCTGGTGAGGCTGGTCCTTCCACCCACACCCCACGTCAGCCTGAGCTTCCCCAAAACCCAAGGACAGGCTGTTCCACATGGCAGATGTTACCTGGGGACATCCATTCTTCCCGCACATGGCGACACGCTGCAGCCTCTCACCGAAACACCTCTCCTGCTTCCCAGGAGCATCACAGCAGCTTTACTGCTCTGGGATGAGCTGCAAGGCTGGATCATGCTTCCCACAAAGCATCATGGCCTTACAGATCCCACAGGAATGAGGCAAGGCACAGGTTTTGTAAAACTAAGGGGAAAAAAATATGTATATTTTACAAACCCATCTTCTGCACAGACAGGCAGCTCTTTGAAAGCTGGAGTGCCTTGTAAAATCTGGGTCAGTTTTGTGAGATTATTTTGAAGGAATGGAAAATCATTTTGACAACTTTGAACTACCCTATTTTGTTGGTTTGGGGTTTTTTTCCCTCTCCTGAATAAAGTGCCTGGGAATAACTTTTTGTCTTTATAATCTACTGAAGTTAAATCAAAGTTAAGACCCAAATAAAACACCTCGAATGACTGGCGACAGAGCTCTGTGAACTCTCCCCATGGAGTCGGCGGGGAGCAGCCGGGTCTCTCACCCCGACCAGTGCTGCCGCAGCTGATTAACCGAGTCGTTAAATCACTCCTTGTCTCACCAATGCGCCTCATTTAAGCCCAATTCCTTCATATTTCCAGCCCAGCAGACATCACCCCAAGGGACAGAGACCAAGGTGTTGTGTTCTTATCCGGCAACTACTGATGCCCTGTTTATGGGAAGAGACTAAGAAAATATTGACAGTAGAGCAGAGGAGCATCCCCGGGGCGGGGACGGAGCTGGGTATAATCTGTCCTTAATGCAGGCTGCAGCACTGCCCTGTGCCCCCAGGGACGGACTCACTGCCCAACCACAGGCCAAAGCTGCCTGCAAAAAACACCAAATCTCCTGTTCCACACATGATGAGACCCACTCAGGGACACAAGTCTGGGTGACAGCAGCATTACAGCACAAGAACCCTGGGTGTCACCGCACCAGGATTCACTTGCTTCAGTGCAGATCTCATCCTGATCAGCAGCATCTTCTCTCCTTACCCCACCACTCCTACTTTGGGAGCAACTGGCCAACATTCACTGCTGCAGCCTTCCCCAAATACAGCCCAAACGGCACAAGACGAGGCTCTGATGAGCAGAGAGGTGGCGAAGGAAGTAACCAGCCCACCCCATGGGCAGCAATCACCCCCAGACCCCCCGGGGGGATACAACAGCCCCCCTGCACAAGGGTCTGCTCCCACAGGGAGGGCACCCAGGCGCGAGCAGGCTGCGCTCCCACACCAGGGTGCTGGGTGCTTCCAGGCCACCCTCTCCACCACCCTCCCTGCACAGCTCATCAGGCTCTGCGGTGTGAGGACTGCAGACAGAGCAGGCGATAATTTCATTTCCCTTGCAAATGAGGCCCCATTCCTTCCCCATCCCCAGCACCTCATCAGTGGAGCCGTCATCTCTACCCCGCTCCCCACCAGCCCTCGCTGCCTCCTCCGCTCACTTCAATTTGTTCACCCAACCCCAACAAACAGCCATTTCCATTTTGTGAGGAGCCCTGGCTGTCAGTATTCTTACAGTCTTGTTGCAGACGGTTGATCGGGCAGGTTTGCTTATTAATGAAGTTATGACAGTTAACTATTAATAACGACAACTTGCTTTTCTAGCAAACATGGTTCTCTGAGATGTTATCCGATGCCAATTGCTGAAAGCCATCAACGTATGAATATGCTGCTTAGGATGGGATGCTGCAATGGGCTGGTGCCTATGTGGAAAAGGGGCTTTGTGGGTGAGAGAAGAGGGCTGAGATGGGGATGCAACGAGCTGGAGAACCCTGACAGGTCCCATCTCAGCACAATGCTCTCCCTGAGCCCCCATCCTTGCAGCCCCATTGCTCGCTCTTAGCAGGGAGCATTTTATACCCCTGTTTCTCCATCACTTGCACCCCTTCATGAAGGCTTTCCCAGCTTCACTCCTACTCTGTGCAGGGCAGGGGTCCAACATCAGTCAGCCTGCGTCCACCAGCTTTGCCAAGACACCAACCCTTTTGCTATATTTAAACAGCCCTGGGAGCACTCTTGGTCTCAACAGACCCATTCCCCAGCAAAGGTGCTTTTGAACTACACCATGCCATAGCAAAGTAATTAAAAGCAAGCCTGAAATCTTCTCAGGGAACTCAGAGCACAATTAAGGCTGCAGAAAGCTCCAGAAAGCAAAGACTCAGAGCTCCCAAGTCCCCTCCCAGGCAGGAGATAGGTGCAGACGCTGGGTGGGGTCACAGGGGAACAGCCACAGGGTCACACTACCTCCTGGGGTGGTACCTGCCTCAGTTTCCCCACTCCAGTTAAGTTACAGTCTCCTACAGCACTGACTGAGATCACAGCAGTCACTGACCTCCCGGAGAAAGCTGCACCCCACATCCAGGATCCTGCACTGCCTTGGCTGAACTCCTGCAGGGAGCAGAGAAAGAGGCAGTTACGGGGGGCCCTGCTGCCCCCCTGAACCTCTCTTCACCCCAGCCCAGCTCATTGGTGCCCTCCCAGCCAGGCTCTCCCAGACCTCTGCCCTGGCTGGTAAGGCACCCAGTCATTCCTGGGTAGCCCCAAGGCTCCGGGGATGGACTTCACCCCAGCCCTCTTCCCTGCAAAGCAGATAGGTGCCAGCCCTGCTAGAAAAAGCCAAGACAGACAGCAGGATCCAGCCCCACTTTCATTAATTTCTGTTGAATAATTAAACCCTGGGAAGTTAATACTTTCTGCTTAAAAACTCAAATTGCAGTGTTTGTAATTACTGTTTTATTGAAGCATTAAAAATTAAAGGGTATCCTGAGGTTGCAGTTAGTGCACGAGCTGTGTTCAGCCCTGGGTAAGGGGAAGCTGAGCTACTGGGCACCAGCCCAGCAGCAGGGGGGGCATGGCCTCTCCATCCCTCCCCCTGCTGCAGAGAGGAGGTTTTGGGGATCAACAGTTACAGGAGGACCCACCTCCCCAAACCTGGGGGTCCTGGCCACAAACCCTGCCCAGCCCAGCTCCAGAGACTCAGGCTGCCTATCTCAGGGCAGAGGTATGTGGCAACTGAGGCACGGACTCTCCACTGAAGTACAGAAGGAAAATCCTTTATTATTTTAACAGTACATATTTACGCTCTTGCTACCTTAGCTCTTACTTCATGATAAGCAAATCAGCAACTAGACAGTCATCAACCCCCTCTCCCCAAAACAGTTCCATACTTTCTCCAAGGTGACTTATCTTTCTTCCAAGGCCCGCTTCTCCTCCGGGCCAGAGCAGAGCTGGCACTGCTCCAAGCCAGCGCAGGACAGAGCTCCTGCCTGGCTCACCGAGCAGAGTTCTCCCAAGCAGAGCTCTCCAACTTCACCAAGCTCCCCAAACAAAGCTCCCTGGACAATGTCGATTTGACTCTTAAATATTGAATCTCCCAGAGCTGTGCAGGGCTGACAGGCTAATGCCAACTTGCCTCTTAATCATTTACCAGTAACACATGATTTGACTCTTAACATATTGAATCTCCCACAGCTGCACAGAGCTGACACTCACACAGAGGGGGGACCCCTGACAGCCCCCAAACCATCACCCATGTTGCTGCCAACACCAGCCCAGCCCTCCCCACAGGGCACAGGGGTGGGGATACCAACTCACCGAGCCAGCTTTGGGACCCCCAACCATCCCTCCTCTTGCAGCCAGGTTCTGGGACCAACCCAGAGCCCCCCTTCCCCAGCAGCACAGCTCAAATCACGTCTAACAGCCCTTTATAGGCTCCAACATCTCCCAACCTCCCTGTGCTGGGGTGGGAGAAGCTGGAGGCCAGGCTGGACCCCTGGGAGTAGGTAACGAGGGCAGAAAGGTGCTTTTAAGACTACAGCTGTGAGGAAGCCTCATCTTCCCCCACCAAGACCTTTTGTGCTCCCATCCCTTTGCCATCACTTCATCCCATCACAAGAGGAGGTGGTCTTGAAATTCGCAGCCAGAACATCCTCTGGCCCCGCAGGGCTGGGGCACGTCTGGGGTGGGAGGATGTCCTGACGTGGGGTGGCTTCCCCCACCCCGGTACAAAGGAGCATGGCTGCTGTGCCCTGTCTGACCGGGCAGACGATAAATGGATGGAAATGTCGGTGGGTGTTTTTGTGGCTGCAAAAAAGCGAGTGGGCAGGTTGGAGAATTCCCATCTCGTGGCAAGGTGCTCATCACCTGCGGGCGGAGGATCCCTCTGCCAGCTGCCAGAGGGGAGATGCTGCTGGATGCAGGGGAAAGGTGGGGAGGGGACACGGTGGGAGCCCACACATGCTAGCCCGCTTGGTGCCAGAGGCAAGGCTGGAAGGGCGCAGAGGCACCCTGGGGTGTTTAAACACTGCTGCACGGCACAGTGAGCATGGCCCATGGGAAGGGTGACAAAAGCCACCTCAGTCCCCACTGAGGACACCTGTCTCTCTTGCAAAGGAGAGGGTCAGCCCAGGGGTGATGAGGCCTTCCTTTTTTTTCCAAAGTCCTATTTTAGGACAGAAAACAAACACAAAACTCAAACAGGAGATGCTTTATTGGATCGGGGTGGGGAGGAAGAGCTATTCAGCTCTATTCACATCACCTCACGCTGCCAAGCCGAGAGCATCCCCATCTTTCCCACTGCTCCTGCCGTCCCCTCATCCCAGTCCTGCTCTTCCCTCCCAGCCTCTGTGTATTTTCTCTCAGGAGATGTGGCTCATGCCGCATTTCCTCCCTCAGCTGCTTTAATGTTTGTGTTTTTGTGCAATTCGCAGTCCTGAGTGCCATCAGGTTGTGCGTCCAAGAGCCCAGAAATACCCATCAGCTCTTTCCCCACCAGCCCACATCACTCCAGTTTGGGATGCTCAGTTCCCCCACTTAGGGCCCTGCTACTCCAGTTAGGGGGATGTTACTCCACTTGGGGGATGTCGTGGGGCTCAGCTCTGCTCTGGAGCATCTGACTGTCCCAGCCATCCCATGCTGCATGGACCAGCACCGTCCCCACGACTTGGGGACCAGCCCAGCAGGACGGCCCCACAGACTCTCAAACTGGTTTCCATGGCAGCCAGTTTTCAACTGCCTCATCGGTCTCCATGGCAGTAAGACTCCTCCCTCCCCATCCAGGGTGGTGGGGCATTACTCAGGGGTTTTCACAGCAGATCCTCCACTTGAGAGCACCCATCAGGTCCCCAGCAGCTCCCCCAATTCCTCCCAGCAGCTCTGCCCTGAAAGCAAACCAGTACAACCAGTGCATCTCACTGCACCTGAAGAGACAGCATCTGCCCAGGTACCTGGACAGTCAGATGGGGCACAAATTCGTTGGAAACTCAAGAGACAACATCAATTTTTCTTCCTTCTTGCCCCCACCTCACCCCCATCCCGGAGGGTTTCCCGCTGCTGTCTGTTGTAGCTGGGGCCACCTGGCAGGTACTTGGCGCGCTCTCAAACCAAGACAAGCAGGGCTGTAAACCATCTCTCTGGTAAGAGAAGGAGACAAGCTTTGTAAAAATGACGCACGGCAGACGCAGATTAATTTTATTTTATAATCCTGTTGAGGATTTTGAACTAGTCACCGATACGGGACTAAAAATACCACTGGGGTCCTTGAGTTTTTATTTTTCCCATTCAACAACACTTACAACAAAAACACCCAACCAAAATAGCATCTACAAAACCAGACTGAGCCCCTCACGGGCGATGACAGGAGCTGGAGGTGGGGAGGTGTGAAAGCACCGGCTGCGCGTGGGGCAGCCGGAGGAGGATGCAAACAACATCGCCCTTCCTCTGCGGCAAAACACTCTTTCACTGAAGATAACCCCCGAGATCTGCAGCGCACAAGTTCTCTGTGGGCTTGGATAAAGCTGAGCCAAATGTAAGAAGGAGCATAATTCTGTGTTTTCTGTGCTGCTAAATATTGGCAGTAATGGTTCCAGGGGCTGCTGCAGCGAGTTTGTCCTCTCTGGGGCATTTAACAGAGCTTTGCCCAACTGTTTTGATGCCTCCTGAACACCGGGAATCTAATACTCTCTTTGGGACCATGCTGGAAGCCTGCCCTTGGGGTGAAGCCTCTGCAAGTGTTCCCCTTTCAGCCCCCCTGATGTTCCTCTGTAGGGCAGGAAAGGACCCGAAACCAAACTGGCGCTGGCAGCATCTTTTCCAGTGCCTGGGCAGGAGCAGGGGGGTGAGGGGGTTGTGGGTGCTGAGCGTGATTCTCACCACGTGGCCCTGAAAGCAAATTCCTGAAGGTAATAGCAGGAGACAGGTGCAGGGAAGAGGCGTTCGGGTTTTGCTGCTTGGGCTTTGGGAAGCAGTGAGGGGAAGCAGGGTGTGTTTGAAGTCCGGGCTGGGCTCAATCCTGAGCTGTCACTGGGACTCCAAGAGTCTAGAACCCACCGGCACCCATGGGACAAGAAATGTGATCCAGAGCAGTGCGGGAGGAAAGGACTCTCTGTATTCCTGCTGAGACCAAACCGTCACAGGAGAACACTGCTTAATTAACGTGCTCAGAAAAAGAACAAGCAGATGTTTACATTCAGGCTCTTTTTAGAGCAGCGAAGAAGGACAAAAACAGTCAATGAAATCTCCCTGCTGTTTAGTTTTCTGGTGAGAAACCACTCAAACAGGAGCAAGAGCAGCCAAATTTGCAGCGGTCTTGGAAAAATGGCGATGATGGAATCCAGCACATCATGCCCTGACAGTCACGGGGGGATCACTGGGTCACACAGCGCTGTCCCTTTGCCTGTCCCCCACCCTGGGGAGCAGCATGTCAAGGGGACCAGACCCCATCCAATCCCCACCAGGGTGTGCCTGGGTGGTGGCAGTGGCAGCTCTGGTCTTGGGGACACGTAACTCCTTGTCCTCTGCTTTTATAATAAAGTTACAGCAGATAGTGCGGTTGTTGCTTGAGGGGGAAAGATGATTAACCACTATAATCCCAATTACAGCTTCTAATTGGGATTAATTTGTTGAGTTAATTAAGTGTGGAAATCCATTACCTCACAGATTTCTTTTATGAACTTCTTGCTCCCAAGCCCAGTCCCTGCCTGGCCACATGTGGCCACATGTGGCAGGGCAGAGGACTGGTCGCTACCGTGTGATGACATGAGATGGCTGTGGCCCTGCCACCACTGGTGACAGCCAGCTGGGCTCCATTTTAGCACCCAGTCACTGCTCTTTATTTGACGTAGATGGGAAGATGGCAGGAGCTGAGGACAGGAACCAAGGTGGCTCCAACCTCAACACCAAACCAGAACAAGCCTTTGAAGAGGGACAGAAATGTTGCAAGAGCCTGGGGACAGCGGTGGCTGAGGAACATCACTGCTGCTGTGTCAGAGCTGATGCACCAAGAGGCCAGTGATGGAGGATTCTTGCAGGTAAAACCAGTGCCACATCCTCTCTAGTTTCCAGGATGAACCACACAAGGAAATCCCAGCATGACAGACTTGGTGAGAGTAAAGGAAGCTGGGTGAAGCACACACAGGGGGCTCAGTGGACAGCAAAGACAGAGGATTTGCAATGCCAGGAAAGGGGAGATGAAGCAGTCTGAGTGCCCAGGCTCTGTGCAGTAGCCAGGGCAGCTGAGTGTTCCTTTCCCTGAGGAAAGCACTGCTGCGAGGGTGCAGACTGGGTTGCCCCAGCTGCCATCGCTGTACAAAAAAGCCATGGACCTGCTGGAGTGTGTCCAGAGGAGGCCACAAAAATGATCAAAGGTTTGGAGCACCTCTGCTGAGGGGAGAGGCTGAGAAAGTTGGGCTTGTTCAGCCTGGAGAAGAGAAGGCTCCAGGGAGACCTTAGAGCGGCCTCCCAGGACTTAAAGGGGGCTACGGGAAAGCTGGGGGGGGACTCTCTATCAGGGGGTGTAGGGATAGGACAAGGGGTAATGGTTTTAAATTAAAGGAGGATAGATTCAGACTAGATGTAAGGAAGAAATTTTTTATGAGGAGGGTGGCAAGACATGGGCACAAGTTGTCCAGAGAGGCAGTTGTGAGAGCCGAGCAACCAGGCCTGTGAAAAACTAAGACAAACAGCCTGGGAAAGCAAGAATTAAGGCTGATTGAAGATTTGCCTCAAACACTCGCAAGACAAAACTATGAGTCACAGGGTGCTTTCTGTGGAGGACGAAGCTGATAAGGCTGCCCGATGTATCTGGGGGAGAGAGCCCTGTGGAGATGGGACGGCTCTGCCCTGGGGCACCTGGGCAGATTTCAAGGGCCATGTGTCCGGTGAACGAACTTTGCTTCATTATCCACGAAATGCATATTAAAGTTGACACCCCTCAATATGCTAACGAGGGCTGTCCTGATCATGCTAGTGACATCATCCCATGAAACACCTTACCCCTCCCTGTACATGGGATACGTAGGTCTGTGGGTTGACCTAGGGGACGGACCCAAGGAAAGTGGGTATAAATCAAAGGGGAGAAGAAAGGGCTCTCTCTCTCTCTCTGCCCCTCTTCCTGCCCCCCCCTCGGCCGTCTGGAGAGAGCAGTGAAGCAAAGACGACGGATGCCAGCGAAGAAGATAGCTGCCTCCTGGAATCCTCGCCGGCAGGAGCAGTGCAGGAACCCAGACCGGTGATCTGTACTCCCCCATTCCCTCTATCTCCCTCTTTTCCTTTTTTCTGTTAAGAAATGTAAAGCATATTATATTGCTTGCCACCGCTTGCTCTGTACTTAGCCAGTATATCATGTGTTCAATTAGTACATTGTAGGTAGTTAATAAATGCTTGAACTTGGAGACTTGTTGTCCGCTCCAATTGGGGATTTGCGAATCTGAGTCACTTGTCCCCCTCGCTGGAGCGGGACGTGACAGCAGTAGATGTCCCAATCCTGGAAACATTCAAGGCCAGGTTGGATGGGGCTCTGAGCAACCTGGTCCAGCTGGGGATGTCCCTGCTCATGGCAGGGGGATGGGACTAGATGACTTTTAATTGTCCCTTCCAACCCAAACCATTCAGTGATTCTGTGATTCTATGATTCACATCTGCCGCAGCACGGCACGGCCGGGCTCGCCTCACTCCCCTGAGCCACATGTACGGATCGTGCCCCTGTTCCCACCACCGCACACAGTGAGACAGCTGGCAGAGCTGCTGGCGCTTCCTATTATTTTTCTCAACACTCTGCTGAAAATTAATTAATTCAATTAATTGATTAAATAAACAATCCTCCATGCTCGGCAGTGCTGAGCCAGCTGTGCACTCTGTCAAGCTGCAAGAACATCACCCATTCCCAGGCTGGGTCCTGGTCTCAGGGACATGAAATTGGGGTAGTCTGGGAAGGAATTGGGGCTGGCAAGTGAGGGGTTGCAGTGCAACAGTCAGCAAAAAGTTTCACGAACACCTCTGAAATGGTTGCACTTCCATGCAGGTTGCAAAGTCTTTTCTTATTTCTTAGAGATGCTGTCAGATGCTTTGAATCCTTAGATGAAAGGAACTAAATTAGGGCGGATCGTTATTTCCTATTTTCTGATTTATATTTATAGAAAAGCTGATACTTCTGGTAGCTCACTCTAAAAGCAAACCTCTGGCCTGTTTCCAACTGGTCTTTACTGGGAGCTGAGTTCCAGAGGGTGAGAGGCAGTGGGAGGCCTCCGAGAGATAGCAAGAAGAGGGGCTGCACACCCCGCCAGCCCTTTTCTTTTTGGCTTTCCAAAGCCAGCAGCCAAGTGTTGGGAATGGCCACATTTTTGCCCTCCTGAGGCCCTTTGCAGGCAGCACCATCACCTGCACCCAGGGGCCCTGGCTAGAGGTCAAACCCCACAAAGGCACCTAACCTCCCCCCCAACACTCCCCCTCTCCCCATCCTCCCAACTTTTTTTTTCCCCCCCTTTCCAGAAGACCTGGTTGCCAAGGGCCGGTTCCTGGCTCAGCTCCGATGCTGCCCAGGCTGGGGGTTGTCTTGTCCCCACTGCAGGCAGTGGCAGGACAAGCTGCATCCTCAGCAGTTTTGCACTGCTTTGTGGATGGGGCGTTGCTGTTCCTCTGCCTGCCTGGGGAATAACGTTCAGTGGGCCTTATCTCTCCTGAGCAAACATTGAACCAGAGTTTTAGAGGGTTTCCACTAATGAGCCACAGTGGGTGTCACTGGGCATCACTGCCCCAGCTGATAAGAAAGGGAACACTCAGGCCCACACCTTTGAAAAGGGGTTTCACCGCCCACCCCAAGTCCTTTCTACTGGAAAAAAAAAGGTAAAGAATAAAAAGAAAAAGAAAGAAAGCAGAAAAAGGCAAAAGATTTCACTGCTCTTTTCACTCAATAAGTCTGAGGACAGATTTTCAATTTGCTAACTTTCTTTATGGCTCTGGCTTTGCCAAAGGGAGCAAGAGATGAGGGAAGGGGACAGGAGATTAAATGCCTTAGTTTATTGTGGGAAGTCTTTCTAAAGGGGGGGAAAATAATAAAAAAAAAGAAAAAAAGAAAAAAACCAACAACAACAACAACAAAAACCCAACATGACACCAGGGAGACAGGACTCAATTAAAGCAAGACCTTGAAATATGTGAGCCAGTGGTCCTGACCACAGGCCCATTAGACATCCCTGTCAGGCGGCGTGCCTTGGTTACCGGAGGCTGTGTGGCAGCTAGATCCATCACCTGGGGAAATAACCACCGGTGCTTACATCTTCAGCAGCTCCTTGATCTAGCGATAAACCCGTTAGGGGAAATAAATGGGTTTCTCTTGCCTGGACTGTCCACATCATGGATGCAATTTGCCATTTTACCCGGCTGCTGATAAGCAGAGGATCGGGAGGGAAAAGCCGCTTAACGATTTCCTAATAAAGCCCTAGATAAGAGCGGAGCAGTGCTATTACCTCCCTTCGGCTGTGATTTACAGCCTAGATTGCTGCTCCAGGAGCTAACAGCAGCTCAGCCTCTGCAGGGGAGGATGCTGGTGTGGGGAGACACCCAGCCAGCAGCGGGATGCTGCAAGGGGATGCCAGGGCAGGGACCACCCACCCTCTTGGCAGATCCCCCTGTTGCCCCAGCTGCACTAGCAAGGGAAGGTTTTTATGTCATCAACATTAAAAACAGGGGAAAAAACAGAACTCCAGAAAGTTAGTTCTGAGTGGAATTACTAAGAAGAGTGAGACTCAGAAACAAAAAGCGCCCTTGGCTTCATTTCTAGGTATAGAAAATGGATTTCCTGAAAAATATCATTCTTTCGACACGCCTGTCCTGGTTTCAAAGCTGCCAAGAAGAGGAAAACAGATTTAAAAAGAAAATCTTCCAGGAGGCTCTGCCCACTGTGATGCCACCAGAGATGCCATCAAAAGGTCTACACCCCCCCAGCCCAAGGAGACCCCAGGGGCTCCCCACGCACGTGCTCTGGTTGTTAAATAAACTGTCTCACCCACCAGCATTGGAGGGTGTAGCTGACAGCTACATTGTTTGATTTTATTCTTAGTTTTGCACTGTTTCCCACTCTTTTCCCCCTCCCGACTGGGGATTTCTTCTTTGTAATTAGCTGTGGTAGTTAGAATCTCTTTCATCTGGCTGCACATTGGCTTTCCTTTAAACCTCTTCTATGCTCCTACTTACTAAAAAGTGAATTCAGTGTCTGTATCATCCTCAGATTTCCCTTTCAGATGGAAACATTCTGACCAGGGAGATCAGGATAAGTGCTGGAGACTTGCTCAGAAAAGGGCTCAGGAAGGCAGCGGGATGCTCCAGTGATCAGCTGGGCAGTCAGGACCAGAAACAGGCAGAGAAAAAGCATTTCCAGTTGACAAAGTCCCTTTTCTTTCACACCAGCTCCTCTGGGAGCTGCTGCTAACCCAGCACCTCCATCCCTTGCTGCCACCTCCGTGCTGGGGTGCCCAGGACCAGCAGCACTGCAGGAGTCGATACACCCCACAGCCCTGGCAGACACAACCCCACATGACAAACAATTTGGTGCCAATTCTGCACCCAAAGCCACTGTTAACACTCAGCGTTGGCTTACCAAACCAGCCAAGACCCCACTTTGTCCCTTATGTGGGATGTTACAGACCAAGGCATTCCCCTGGGGCTCCACAGAGGACGAGGCAGGAGGGGCTGACCTGAGCACCCGCACTTTGGTGCCCGTTGCATCCAGAATCCACGAGCGATCTGCAGTCACCAATGGGCAGCATCCACCCTCAGGGCAGCACTGAGAGCAGGACCTGGTGCCGGCTGATGGGGCACAGACGTGACAGGTAATACCAGAGCATTACTCAGCCCCATCACCCAAATGTACAGGCTGGCTCAAGATCCAACAAGCTTCCCGACAGATCGTTATTTCCCATGACAGCGGCAAAGGTGAGCCAGACGCCTTTTATTTCAGCTTGGAGAAAAATGCTTCTGCCAGGGAATAATTGGGACTCTGAGGCGGGAGGCAGGCGCTGGGCTGCTGAAAGGTGAAGGCTATTTTAAAAGCAGCTGAGCAGAACCAGTGAAGAAAGCTGCCCAGGGAGCTGGTGCAATGAGCACTGGCTGGAGATGCAGCCCGAGCCTCTTGGTCTTTAAAGCTCGCTTAGATCCCCTGTAAAACCAGGTTTTATTTGGTCCTTATAACCCTGGGAGGTGAATCACTGGTGGTTTCTGCCTGCAAATCCCCTGTGCCTCCCCCGGGCTAGCTCCTGCCCACCCAGAGCTCACAGCAGCCGGGGTGAGCAGCGCAGGAAGCCTGTGCTGGGTGATGCTCTGAGACCAAGATGAAAGGTGCCATAGAAAGGCACAAGGTATTGTTGCTCAGCTCTGCAAAGAGAGGTTTGTGCTGCTTTTATTTATACACATGCTGGCTGCAAGACACAAAAATTACTTAATCAATCCTTCCCCTTGTCTGGCGTTGCAGGCAGGATGGAAGCTGCCTACGCAATTTGCGCTGAAGATGACAAATTGCTTTGGGATCATGGCAGCGTCTCCAGCTCCTGCCTCATCTGGTGCAGGATGCGGCCGGTCTCACTGCAGCGGGTTCAAGGGCTCGGCTGAAGGGACATCCAGAGGACACGAGCACTGTGTGGTGTCCCCATTCCTGGGGTCACAGTGGTGAGGGGAGCTGGGATCTGCCCAATGCTGCTGCACAGCTGAAAGAATGGGATTTTCTCCCCAAACCCAGCTGCAAGCCATTGAGCCATTGGGAGGATGGGCTGGAGTGTGGCACAGCTGGGTCCTGGGGGAGACCTCATGTACTCATCCTGCCATGGCACTGCTCTCCAGCGGTCACCATGAGCTGGGGGGACAAGCCTGGGACCCTGTGGTGAGACCACCAGGACAGGCTGCCACCCCACCAGCCTCCCTCGCTGGCCGGACCAGGAGCTTTTCTGCACAGTGAAGGGCTAGGAGGACATTTCCAGCCCATAATTTTCCAGCCACATGTTTTATGGGATGCAGGGGTCTCACCATCGAATGCTTCTAAGCAACAGGAGAGCACCAACCTTACAACAACACACTCAGTCTCACTCCAGTAAGCAACCCTACAAAAACAGGTCACCCAGCAAGCAAGGGGATACAGTGGCAGCAGTGAAAATTTCCCTGAACTGAGATGAGTGGCATGAAGAAAAGTTAAAGAAGTGAAGACCATCCATGGAAGATGGTTGCTTGGAGCTCACTTCTTCCCATAGCTGCAACATCTGGGGCACGCAGAGCTGGCAATTCCTTTCTGCTGCTGCAGCGCGTCCTCCTTCCCGGCTGCTCATGCAAACCCCCAACAGCCTCCGTGCCCCCGCCACTGTCTCCGATGCCTCGGTCCCTTGGAGGGACGTGCAGCTCCATGCACAGCCCAGAGGTGGGGGGACACTCACTGTGGGCACCTCTGTCCTGCTAACAGCATTTCCCTGGGACCAGCGTCCTACCCAGGAGCCCTCCCCAGCCCCATCCTGCCCCTCCCTCCCCAGGGCATCATCCAACCCAGCCGCTCTCCTTGGGCTTTGTTCTCCCCCAGCTTCACAGCCAAGGCAGGCACCAGCAGCCCCCCTGAAACCCTCAACACAGCACTGCCCAATGACTCCCAACAGAAGGACTGGGTGTTGCTTCCCCTTTAATTTATGACTTGTCAGGGGGGAGGGTTAAAAAAAAAAATAAATCAATAAATAAAACAACCCAGGATGTTGAAGAGGATGAAAACCCTGAAACTGCAGTCTGCTGGTTGCTTGTCCCATTGTCAGAGGAAGGGAACCCCCGGTCCCCCTTTGCCACCACCCCGGCCCAGCACCACCAGGTCCAGGTGGGTTTGGATGCAGTCAGACAATGCTCCTCGAGAAGAAAATGAAACCAAAAGTCAGGACGTGGTCATTCACAGTTGACTGGCAGACGAAACAACCCCCAGAGTCTGACACTCCTGGCTCACCCGCCAGGAGGGACCTGTCCCACCTCCCTCGGCTATTGCAGAAGCTTTGAGAAAAAGCCACTCGTTGCACGTTGCGCGTTGCAAACATGGGGGGGGGACACACCAAGTCACAAGCAGTCCCTGCACAGAGCCACTTGTCCTTTGCGGTAGTCACGGCAGGGGCAGAGGCGCCGGTACTTGGTGTTGTAGCCCGCACAGCTGAAGAGCAGTGGCTCCTTCTGGAGGTAGCACTCGTGGACATTCTCGGCCACCGCTGGGTAAAGATGGTTCATCTCATACTCAGTGCTATCGCAGGTGATGCTGAGCCTGGGAACAAAACCAAAGGTGGGTTGGTTCAGGAGAGGAGGCTGCCTGGGGTTTCACTGAAGGGTTTTTAGTGCTGATCTGTCCTTCCTGTACTAAGTGTTGGGCCAGATCTTTGCTGGTTGCACCAGTGTTATGTTTGGCACCCCTTGGCTAGATGTGAATGCTCGTCACCAGCCCGACACACCATGCAGGAAGGGGTGACCCTTGCAACTCAACCCTGCAGCCCAGAGACCACCGCATCCCTTGCATGGGCCATGAATGGCTCAGGGAATCATGCACTAAAATCCCCCTAAATATTTTATATTCCTCCTGCTCACCAGCGGGTCTGTCCACTCTCTGGGGACACCTCCCACAGAAGCTAATGCCCCCTAGTAGGGCATGTGAGTTCAACAGAAACCCACATGTCCCCAGCTAGCTGGGATTAGCCAGCAAAACCGTGGTGGGCATCAGCAAACACCTGAAGGAGCAGAAATGGCCAGTGTGGATCTCAGCATCCCTCTCCTCCCACCCATGTTTGCTTCTGCAGACGGAGCAGCGGTGCTGGCATCACCCTCCCACCAACCCCTCTCAATTGGTGAGCCCCTGAGCCAGCTCGTTTTAAGGTCTGGAGGAGGGCATGGAGGAGAGAGAATGAAATCCAAGCCCCAGTTGTAATTTATCATATAAAAATGTCAGTGGGACTCACAGCGCCTGCCTGACCAGCATGACAGCAATGGTAATGCTCGCATTTTAATTGCCCATAGAGCAGCACGGAGCCTGGTGGCAGATTTATACTCTATTAGAACTTCACTGCTGTGTATTCCAAATGCAGTTTTATAGAGAAAGACATAAAAAAAGAGAGAAAGGGAGAGAGCATGGAGGAGGTGGAGAGGAATGGGGTGGGAGAGAGGCAGAAACGTGCCTGGAAAGGCTACCACTGCCTTCTGAAGTGTAAAGCTGGTCAGGCCCAACACATGCAAGCAACAGGCTGCTTTGCAGGCAGTGCCCTGCCTAAATCACCCTGGGCATGGAGGCACCTCAACGGGATTTTGGGAGGAAAGACACAAGGAAAATGGGTGCTGGGGATGGGGGGAGCAAAGGGAACATCTGGCTGATGGCCCCCAACCCCACCTCGATGAGAAGGTCACAACTCACTGGAGAAACACCTCCTTCTTGTTGAGGAACCTGAAGAAGGTGGGTTCGCAGACCAGCCCGTGCCGCCGGCATGTCTCGGTGCAGGCGTGCCGGGTCTCTGACACCCACACCTGCAGCGAGTCCACTGGGGGCCAGGCGCGGGGGTCCCGGCTGGCACTGGGGGACCACACCAGGTGAGTGGCATTGGGGGACAGGGCCAGCGGGCTCAGAGGGCTTTGCATAGCAGGACTCTTGGCCTTGGGAGGCAGAGGAGGAGACGACGTGGTGCAGAAATCCTAGTGGGAGAGAAGACAATGGGTCAGTGCATGGAGAGGCAGAGCGAGATGTTGGAGATGGGGAAGGGAAGCTGTCAGTGGGATAGGAGGACATTTGGACTGCTGAGTTTGCACCTCAGGTTGAGGTCACCTGCACACACAGATGGCATCTCCTACTATGGGAGATGAAGGCACTGGCCACCTCTTCTCCCAGTGCTGCCTTATTCTCTGCAGCAGAAAGGCCTTGACCCAGCCTCAATCCCCACAGCCACCCTCTATCGTCCTCCAGCATCTTTGGTTCATGACAAACCTCCCCCAGCCCCCATCTCCTGGTGCTTTCTGCAATTAGGCCACTGGCTGCACAGGGCTGGGATCTGGCATCCCTGGCTGGGGAGCTGCACGGTTGCTCGCCCAGAGGAACAGGAATGGACCCATGAGAGAACAGGGATGGTTGGCCAGGAGAACAGGGATGGTCACCCCAGCGAGGTCAGGGATGCTCCCCAACCTGGTGCTGAATGTAGGCGTGGATCCGCTCCAGCATCCCCTCGCAGGTGTACTCGTAAGGCAGGTAAGGGTCCACCTGTGAAGGGAGAAGAGCAGAGCACAGGCAGCAAGAGGGGACAGCCTTGTTCTCCCCCTGGGCCTGGTGGCCTGGGACAGCAGTGCCCTGGGCAATGGCTCTCCTCACCCGCTGAAGCCCATGGCTTGTGTCTGTCCAAAGCAAGCAGGTCAGAAAACTAGGACTGGAAAAACTTCAGAAGCAATAAAGCACTAGAGAAAGAGGGTGAAGGATTAATTTGGGTTTAACCCATGTACTGGTAAAAATGAAGTTCTATTTTAGTCTCACTTTTCATTTTTGGTAAGTTATAAAATAAAATCAGTTTTCACGCAATAAGTCATTTCCAATTAAAGTATGAACTGTTTCAATCCAAGAAAGACTCCGCAGCTGCGGGCAAGTGGGGGGAGTAATTTTAAAATACAGAGGAGAATTTAGGACTGGTAAAGATGCCAAGCTAATCCGGAACAAGAGCATCCTGGTGGCACCCTGGGTCTGGTCTAGCATCCCGAGTGCTCTGACCTCAGCACGGCTCTGCCTGCTCAGAGAGGAAGGTCCAGGCTTTGCCTCCCTGGGCTACGACCCACCAAACCAAACGGTGAAAAGCACAGGAAAAAAAAAAAAATCTCTTTCCCACTGGCACTTTGCTGAGGGTTTTCTGCCCTGCATGGATGGCTGTGACGGGGTGGAAGCCAGTGTCTCCCCCAGCCCCAGAGGCTCGGTGCTCCCTGCTGCTGCCAGCACAGGCTGGGACGAGGCGGGAAGGCAGCAGCGGCTGCACGCCGGGACGCAGCAAATGTTGATGCCCACGTTGATGGCAGTGCTGTCGCTGCAGCCCCATGTTGGTAACTGCTATTTATGCCAAACCAGCAGCACTTAAACCATGGTGTATTTTTAGGTTACAAAACGTTGCCAGTCTTTGGGAGACTTCTGCCTGCACTCACTGTCCAACATCACATCTCCCTGCCCCCAGAGTCACCCTCGGGTCCTGCCATGGGACCCCCCCCTCTGCACAGGGGCTCAGCAGCATCCCCCAAACGAGCATGTCCCTGGTACAGTGGTGGCAGAGGTTCCAGGACAAGCAGGCAGAAGCAGGCAGACAGGCTCACTGCCCTCCAGCAGGGCTGGTGTGTGGCCACTGTCCCGGGGTCAGCAGTGATTTTTCCCACGGGGAGAGAATTGCCCCGAGAGCTGTACCACTGATAGACCTCTTCCCTCTGGAACGAATTATTTTTTAAGGAACTTTCTGCTCTGGGAAGACAGATTTTCCACACTCTTATTTTTCCAGAGAGATGTTACACGAGCCACAGGACATTGGTGCTTGGAAGGGGGTGGTCCTGGGACCCCTCTTTCCCCAAAACATCTCCGCAGAGCTTCATGCAAAAAGATTATAAGCAAAACCACCGCAAAGATAATTCATCTGGAAAACACTGTTTCTTCTATTTTCTGAGCACTGCACCTCCGAAATAACTATCTCCTTTTGAAGTACCCGTCAAACCCAAGCTCAAAGGCTCAGTCTGCTGAGAAGATCCCTCTAAGCGTTTCCCTGCCATAAATATCCCACCTGAGATCTCAGCCAGGCTGGAAATCACAGCTGCTCAGTC